CACCGAAACAATCTGCACATTTAATTAAAATTTAATAAACTACCATCTTGTCTTCATTTTTAGTTAGCACAGACCTTAAACACTTCAAGCTGTAAGCTAGTGATGGTTATATAAGAGCAGATACATGCTGGTGCAATAAACCTCTGCTGATAATGACCCACACCCATTTTCACACATTGAATCATTTGATGAATCACTCTTAAGGGTCAACTCCCACTCAGGCTTAAGTCCCTGGGACTCTGCTCCATTTGGTTTCAGAACTGAAGAAGCTTCTGGGATGAAGCATCTCCAACAAACTTAAAGAATCTGATCGCTTTTCTTTCCCGGCTCCTTGGATTAGTGACCTGGAGATACTCGGTCACAGATATATTTGAAGGCAATAACTGACATTAACAACACTGCAGGAACACACTTTTGTGTGTTAGCTGGGTAATAATCGGCACACAAACAAGCAGCAGTTGTACTTCTGTTTGTTTTCTATGCTTCAGCTCAGCTTAGTTCCCATCATCATGTTCAGCTTGAGTCATGGAGGCTGCTGTTAATGATTTCCAGCCCGTGCTGAGCTTTTATGATGCAAATCTCAGAAATATGATGGAAGACTGAGCGCACCTGCTCTGATGAACATGAAATTTATGTTCTCGTATTTCCTGATGAAACTCTTTGATTATATCTCACAGCAGCTCGGTTTGATCTCGCTGTTTTCACACATTTCTCTGGGCTCTATTCAGATGGATATTATTTTATGATAGATTTTAGATAGTAGATGTTTCCCACTGTGTGGTCTTTTAACATCAGCCCATAAACAGCTGTAGCTGAGGAGAGCAGCTGCTGGACTTTTATGAGTAAATGTTGTCCCGTTCCTGTGTGGTGGAGGATTCTAGCTGCTCGGCAGTCCCGGCTCATCATTGTTACATTTTGGGTTTCGTGATGCTCCAGATGTTGGCGAAAGCGCTGAGCCGTAGGCAGCCCGGTCCAACATCTGGACTCTTCTACTGTGAAGCCATGGGGCTGACAGAGAATCCACACAGCTTCGCAGTAGAAGAGTCCGGACCTTAAAATCCAAGCAGCCGGCTGCTGTTCAGGGATGCTGGCCTGCTCCTGTAATTCAGGCCAAATTAGATAAAAGTTGCTGTTTTGAGGAAGCGCCATAGAAACAGACAGCTTGGCATCATGTAAAAGCATCGTAAGATGGAAAATTATTTTGTTTAATTCATGGCCAATAGGGAAATGTGAATGTTCGTGTGGCTTTTAGCTAAATTTCTGCCTTTTTTTTTTTTTCTTTCCTGAAAATCAGTTCCGTTTTTCCATAATTTGGCCCGAGTGTGTTGTGAGGATTTGACCTTGACGTCCGTGTTTCTCCCTCTCAGTATTTTTGATTTTGGTGTATTTAATTGTCTCTTAATTACATCCTGAGTCTAAAATCCAAACACTGTTTTTCTGCACTTGCTGTTAATCTGTCCCCCACACTGCTGTGGGGTGTGTTTTATGGTGGCCCACGTGTACGAGCGCTCACTGTTGACAGTGTAAATATTAAACTGCTCTGCCTGGTTTTACTCGTCCTCTCCGTTGCGTGTTGTTACTGCAGCAGCACAAAGGTCGGGTCAGTGTTACACGCCTGCAGCTGCATCTTCGAACCATACGCCCCGGAGACGCTTCCTGATGTGAATGCTGTTTAAAACAGAGCTCCTGTTGTCCTGTAAGGAGTGCCCGATTATTCACACTATCCATCTGTTTTCTTCTGCTGCTGAAAAATCCCCCTGTTTGGTTTTTGCCTTTAAAATGTAATTTAAAATGTAATTTATTAAATTTATTTATGATGAAAACTAATCGATCCAGTGATAGAAACACCCAGGGTCATGTGCTGTCACAGTCTTTCTTTGGGGAGTCATACATTTCTCCACAGCTTCCTGAACACTTCAGCTCAGACACAGCAGCGTCCTCTCTCTGCTGTGTTTTGTCCACAGTCTTGTTTTGTTTGAAACATGCTTTGAGGAGTTCATGTGGAAAATGGAAGTTCAGAGCACACTGCTCTGTATTTATGAGACTGTATTTATCCAAGAATTTTACTTTGAAAGTTCAGTCACAGCCGACTAGCTGGTGCTGGAGCAGACTGTCTCATACTGTCCCACCGCTGACCGCTGACGTCTCCGCTGAGTCTTTCACGCAGACAGAGTCAAGCTCCGCCATCTTGGACTGGTGAAAGTCACGCCTGTGTTTTACCCCAGAGCCGTGCAGCTCCCAGAGCTTTGGGAAAGTTGTTTTCAATGTTTGTTAGCAGTGTTTAAATCTTCAAACTAAAACGCATTTGAGTGTCTTTTTAATGATGTCACTGTTGCTAAATTCAACAGGACGCTCCTGCTTCAACTACCTTTGGTGAACGAAAGTGCTTCCATGGACGCGGCTGTAATCAGTAAAAAATAAATAATTAGCTGAAACATAAAGGATGTAAAAATGTGTCGCGTTTGTGTCTCTGCAGGGTCGGCGGTGAGGTTGTGGTGTGGCTCTCAGTTCACAGTGTGTTTGGTCACTGGAGAAACGCTGATTAACACACACCTGAGCAATGGCACACAGACAGGTATCCCCCCCCCACCACACACACACACACACACACACACACATTCCTGTGTAAGTGGGCACGAGGAGTTTGTTTAGGGTTAAGTATCAGTGTGTTTAAAGATTCGTTGTTGTGTGTTGATGATTGTCAGGGCTCACGTCAGTCTCATCCATCGAGTCTTTCCTCAGAATAATAATCTGATATCTGACACTTTCACATAGTTCTTAGTTGCCCATGACTACAGTATTGCTGAGTCAGCAGTGCTGTGCCGGAAACCTGAGACAACAGGTAAACAACAGCTGCAGGTTAAATTAGCCGAATGAGGCGCTGATGAGTGGAAAATCCACTCATCAGCCAGTGTTTAAGGGGGGGAGGGGGTCCACAAATAATCTGTTTGTCTAAAGGAGTTAACACACTCTGTGTCGTCGGCCTTTTTCTTAGTGCATTTTTATTTTTCTCACTATTTTCTCATTGTAGCGTTTCCACCTCAGCACTCAGTCTTTTATACGACACGCCTCCTTCACCCAGTCACACTCTGACGAGCACATCGGAGAGAAACCCGGGGTTCACTCGGGGTTCACCAGCTTGCTCAAGGATACTTTAGCACGTACAGGACCGAACCACCAACCCAATGATTGGTAGAGCTGCGCCCACCATGGAAATATTATCATTGTCTAGAGTGAATCAGAATCTGTTTAAAAAGGGTAAAGCCTCCATGTTTAGTCATGTTATGTATTTAGCTGTAACGCTGTTAGTTTATGAGTATTAGCAAACATGATAAACTAACAAGCCCAAATAAGTTCAGGTATGAGAATCCTGATTACTGCTGACAGACTTCAGGTTACACACAGACTCGAAGGATGCAGTGGCCAATGTTTGTGCTAATGTTTATATGCACAAGTGTTTCCAAGATGAAAAATCTTTATTGGGGAAGAAAAAAAATCATTCTTTATTTGTTGACATTGTGGATGATGTCATTAGAAGTTTCCCCTACAGGAAGCTAATGAGCTGCAACTTTAATGACTGTTTGATTGTGTTGTTGTCTCCATTGTTCTCCGTGTCTCTGGAGACGAGTTCCTGAAACTGTCTTTCCAGGAAGTGATCGGTTCCTCGCACTATCAGGGTTAACTGTGTAGCAGATCAGATGTAACACGAGGAACAAGGAAATGAACTCCACAGGACGTGTGTAACTGTATCTGTCACGTCAGTGTTAGCATCGTGGTAGCCTGACAGGCAGGATGTGTCCAAGCACACCGAAGCACAGTTGAAGATGATGAGCAGACCAAACATGGAGTAGATCAAATAGCAAGAGAGAAGCAGAGAGAGGAAGGTTACTCCACACTTCCTCAGTACAGACAATGGAGGAGGAAGTCAGACGCAGCACAGACTCGTTCAGGTGAACTAAAGCGTGACCATCACCGCTGTGAGCGAGATCAGGTGCACAAGCAGAGACCACATATGCATATCAGTGGGTGGGGGGTGGGGTGTCTTTCTGTATGTGTGTGTGTGCGGTACAGGTTATTTTTCTAAATGAAACAATAGCATCAGTGTCAGCTCTTCATCTTTGAACATTCAGTCACCTCACAGCTGAAATAGCAACAGCTTTTAGTGACGGTGACCTCCATCAGAGCCAGGCTCAGTGAGCGGGGGGAATGAAGAGCACAGAGATGCAAAACTTACTGACAGAGCGAAGCGCCGTAAAAACACCTGGGGACGAAGAGACAGGAGCGTAGAAGAAATTCCCAGTGCATCATGGGAGGTCCCTTAGCACTCTAAGCCCGCTGCAGCATAACTGGTTTAGGGTTCACGGTCACCTGATTCAGCCCTGCCTATAAAACAGAATGAAGCCTCAGAGAGTGGAGGGGGTGTCGCCTGAATCCAGACTGGTTCCATGCGAGGGGCCTGATGGCTGAAGGCTCTGCCTCCGTTTCTATAGAAACTTCAGGAACTGTGAGTAAGCGCTGCTCTCTCAGACGGCGGGCTCTGCTCGGATAATATGACTCTGCCAGTCTTAGGAGCTCGTCACATGAGCTAAGGTGTCCTGTTGTGCTCACATGATGGAGTGGGGCAGTGTGTCACAGAGGTCTGATGGGTAAAGTGGGTTAATGACCCCAGGGCCACTTCTTATTGGACAGCCACCACTAGTTTATTAGCTGGAAATTCAAGAGGCTTCCCCACCAGCTGTGGTGCCAGTTTACCTCAGACCTGTATGTGTGGGGCAGGATTTGCGTGGTGTGGTAACGCTGATAAACACACAGTCTGAGGTTCACACACACCCTGATAAACACACACTCAGTGACGTCGTGTTTGTCTCCAGATGTACAGTCAAACAGCACCTACAACCTGTGGCTGGGCCTGACCCTCGCCCTGCTGTCGGCCTTCTTGATTGGTGGGAGTGTCATTCTCAAGAAGAAAGCCCTCCTCCGATTGGCCAACAACGGACACACCAGAGCAGGTGAGCAGAGTCAGGTGTTTCTGATGTTTGACTTATGAGGTTTATCCGGGCTCAGCCCTGATACTATTAGTATTCATGGCAAGACCACATGTGGATTCATCCAAAATTTAAAATAGTTCCCAGTAAATGCATCGGTCCAGGAGGGAGGGGCAGCTTTGTCTGTTTAATCTTCGAGGTCAGTATTATATTTGGAGTGTTTATTGATATTTTAGATGAGACCGTTGACCTATACCACCACTACAGGAACTCACTCACCTCCCACTCTGAGTCGCTGTTGCTTCCAGTGCTCTTCTCCCTCCTATGTAATGACTTTCTGACTTTCCAGGAAGTGATATCAGTTTCAGGTGCTCTCGGGGTGGATACTAATACTACTACTACTAATAATAATAAGGGCTGTGCGATATGACCGCTTTTTTTCTTTGTGAGTATTTATTACACGGCGTGCTGCGAGGAAAAGCTGTTTTAACGTTTGAGTCTAATGTTTACTTTTTAGCACCTGACGGCTCTTTTTTGCTTCTCCTCTGTAAACTCTCTGCATGCTCTTTCACGTGATTATTTTTATTTTGAAAAGTCTCAACAGGATCTTGAGCATTATTGTGAAAGGTTCATGGAGAAAATAAACAAGCGGACACGCGGTGGTTTTACCGTCGCGTGTGAAAAAATGTTGCCGTAAACAGTTTATTTTGTGACACCACGAAACAAACGATAGCGTAAAATGAAACGATAAATGTTTTTATATCGTCATCCGATATATATCGTTATATCGAACAGCCATGATGATGATGATGATGATGATAATAATAATGGATAGCATTTATACAGCGCTTTTTGGGACCTTCGAAGCGCTTTACAATGCCACTATTCATTCACTCTCACATTCACACACTGGTGGAGGCAGCTACAGTTGTAGCCACAGCTGCCCTGGGGCAGACTGACAGAAGCGAGGCTGCCATATCGCGCCATCGGCCCCTCTGGCCAACACCAGTAGGCGGCAGGTGAAGTGTCTTGCCCAAGGACTGTGCAACGACTCATGTATAGCGTGACAGACGAGCTCATGAGTATCACAGATCATGTCTGAATCATCACTCTCAGAGTTTCTGTTATTCCCTCGCTGCTATCTGTGTCACACTGTGGTTGTTTCAGGTCTGCTCGCCGCCACAGTGTTTTTAAAAAACACAGAAGGTTCAGGTTCTGTGACTCTGAAAATTCACAAAGTACATGTAGAGTAAATCTGCCAGTAAATGAAATTTTATATGCTGAAAAAAAAACCGCGTTAAAAGCAAACATGAAGTCTGAGAACGGCATCTGACATCTGCAGGTCTGAGTTTTGGGAACTAAACTCATTTTGGAAGAATCGATGTTCATTAGAATAATTAAGACTGTGGGTTTGGTGGGTTTTCTCTTCTATGAAGAGCTTGCTGATGTTTGTCTCTGAGAGTGAATGAATGTTTGGAGGATGGATCAGGCTAAGGTTTTAAAGCCGCACATTTGTCCTTGAATTTGTTCCATAGCCTGTAAAGGAGGCTCGCTGTGTGGCGGATGGGATTTTAACAGACTTCCTGTTTACAGCCTCTGGTTTATGGACGCGCTGATGCTTCCTCCCTGAACTGGTTCCAAGATTTTTATATTGCTCCTTACACTGCACCTGCTCTTTTATATGGCATATATAACTTGTACATATCTGTGTAGATACTTGCGTCATTACACACATTCGCTGTGTAGGTATGTATGTACCTACAGACTGAACTTTAAGTTTATTTTTTGGTTTCTCTTATTCTAAAGGAATTTTACTGTAAAAAATCTACATGGTGCTTACGGAGAGATGCCAAACTGTTTCGTTGTTCTTGTGAAAATAAAGATCTATTCTATAATTTAGTGATGAAATGTGTTAAAGGTGGAACAAAAGGAGGAAAACAAAGATTTCCTGACTTGGATGAGCCAGTTTCAGATGTTTCTATGTTTGATATATTTATAGGAAGGTGTGGGGGGGACAGATTGTCGACATATTTTTATAGTTTGTAAATTTACTTTAGGACTGGTATCCTAGTCTCTCTCTAAATGCGGATATAATGGTCTCTAAATACAAAGACAAGTTTCGGTTTTCAGGTAAATGAGGTGGAGCATCGTGCTGATCGTGCTGTGTGTGTTTCTGTAGGTGACGGAGGCCATGGTTACCTGAAGGACTGGCTGTGGTGGGGAGGCCTGTTAACCAGTAAGAGTTTCAGTTCCATCTAATTTTCTGATCCACAGTTCTGTCAGTGTGGCTGAAGTACAAGCACAGCCAACAGCTGTTAGTTTAGGATGTGACATGTATACAAATCTGTCACGAAAGTAAACGGCTACGATATAAATCACAAAAATGTAACATTTTCTGTAAATTCTGTGAATCTCAGGCAACTCGACTTGCATGTTTTTGTTTTTTTTTCCAGCTGCGCGTCGTGTACCTGCAGTCGAGTGTTTTAACTGATGCATGAAACGATACATTTTTAGACATAAGTTGTAACGGCCGCCGTTTCCTTTCAAAGTTTGAGTCTAAGGTTTATTTTTTAGCACCTGACGGCTCTTTCCTCCTCTGTAAACTCTCTGCATCCTCTTTCACGTGACTCAGTTTATTTTGAAAAGTCTCAACAGGATCTTGAGCTTTATTGTGAAAGGTTTACATGGAAAACAAACAAGCGGACACGCGGAGCCACGCGATGGTTTTACCGTCGTTGTTGCTAACGGCGACACGTAAAAACAGGCGCTTGTCCGTCCGTAGTGTGGCTATTAAATTAAGAGAAAGAGAGAAATGAATATAGCCACTACAGTGACCATCAAAACGGTGAAAACATTGCTGTAAACAGTTTATTTTGCAACACCACGAAACAAACGACAGCGTAATAGGAAACGATAAATGTTTTTATATCGTCATCCGATATATATCGTTATATCGAACAGCTTTACTCGGTTCTGTATTTTTCTCTCGTGTGATGGAGCTAAACAGCAGTTTCCTTCAGCTAAACTCATCCTGGATCTTATTCAAATTTCGGTTTATGTTCGAGTGATTAAAAATAGTTCCTATGTTGCTGTCAGCAGTGATTTTCTTTTCCTCTGCAGTGGGAGCAGGAGAAGTCTGCAACTTCGCTGCCTACATGTTTGCTCCGGCCACGCTGGTGACTCCGCTGGGCGCCCTGAGTGTCCTCATCAGGTAGCTCTAGTTTGTAAATTTAAATTCTGTTATGTTTGTGTTTTAAAGCAGCGTGTTTGTCCTTGAATTTCCTTCTGTGGCCTGTATCAAGGCTAACATGAAGTCCTGTGTGCTCTGCAGTGCAGTTCTGTCCTCCTACCTGCTGGGGGAGGTGTTGAACATTGTGGGGAAGCTTGGATGTCTGCTGTGTGTGCTAGGAAGCATCCTGTTGGTTATCCACGCCCCACAGGAACAGGAAGTGACATCACTACGGGAGATGACCAACAAGCTGCTGGAGCCTGGTGAGAGGGGTCGCTCTACTATCTCAAACTCAGAGCGTTCGGTCGTCGAGCTTCAGTTAGTTCGTTTTTTTTAAGGAAACTTTGGTTTACATCATTGTTTTCAGTTCAGCACTTGACCCCCACAAAGACTCATATGAGGACTGAATTACTTCAGGATGCTGCCTCAAGTGGACATTAGAGAAACTGCAGTTTTTGTATTTTGACGTCTTGGTCAGCCCCAGAGGTCACTGCGTAGCCTTCTGTAAGGCCACAGAGGCGAGCTGGAAGGTTGGACGGCTGAAAATGACAGCCCGGTGATGTCATTTTACCATGATGTCAGCAGTGTTATCTCACTGATCCAGAGTCTAGATGCAGGCACACTGATACAGATGTGAGGCTGGCTTATCGTCATAGTAACACCTGAGCCTCAGCTTTGGTGCAGAGCAACTTTTTATCAGTTCAGATGTGAAGTGAGGAGCAGAAATCCATGTTTCTGTGTCAGAATCTGTTTTCTTATCATCCGTCGTGTGTGTGTGTGTGTGTGTGTGTGTGTGTGTGTGTGCGCGCGCGTGCGCGTGTGCGCGTGTGTGTGTGCGTGTGTGTGTGCGCAGGTTTTCTGGTGTATGTGGCGTTGGTGTTGGTGCTGTGTGCGGTGCTCGTGCTGTATTGCTGTCCTCGCTTCGGTCAGTCCAACATCCTCGTCTACATCGGCATCTGCTCGCTGCTCGGCGCGTTCACTGTCTCCTCGGTGAAAGGCCTCGCCATCGCCATCAACACAGGCAAGTGAGAGAGAAGCGGGCGTGCCCGTGCTGCAGAGAAAAGCGTTTTTCCTGCTCTGTGAAAGACAATGCTGATGTTCTGATTTTCTGCTTCTTTTCTTTGCATTTTATTTGTTTCCTTTGAGTCACACGGCTCATTCTCAGGAAAATCAATTCAACTTTTTAAAACCCTCCCTCATCACTGTCTTAAAGATGAATACAGTATCACGCCTCATACACACATGAACAAGGATGTCTCCAAATTCAGACTTTTTTTTTCTGGATCTGTATTTTATAGAAAAATATCAGTGTTTAAATAAAATGTCTCCTTTGTAAGGCTGCTGCTGTTATTAAATCACGTGTGCGTTCTCTCTTTATCTTCAGTGTTTTATGATCTTTCCGTCCTTGCTAATCCTCTCACCTGGATCCTGTTGGCAACGCTTATCGTCTCCATAGTAACACAGGTAAGTTTCACAGGTCTGTTCGTCCGGCCCTTATCTCTGTTTCTCAGCTGTATTATTGTTTAATGGTAAAGCACGCAGTGATGAATGGCTGGGCTGGAGATGTTTGGGCTTCAGCTGCGTCCTCCCTTTAGATGGATGCCTGTTAATCTGTGTTTCCACAAAACAAACTGTTAATCTGAATGAACTCTTCAGCATTTGGGCAGAAATCTGTAACTTTTTGGATGAATACACATGAAGTAACTTTCCATCAGATATCAGCTCACATCCAAGGCACAATGCAGGATTTCTAGTGTTTGCATAATGAAAGTGAGTAACAGCTAACAGCGTCATCTCCATAGAAATGTATACATAAAGACTTCCCTGTCCTTGTGCCTGTCTCCAGGTAAACTACCTGAACAAGTCTCTGGATATCTTCAACACCCTGCTGGTTTATCCCATCTACTACGTCCTCTTCACCTCCGTGGTTCTATCCACCTCCATCATCCTCTTCCAGGAGTGGAGAAGCATGTCGACCATCGACATCGTTACAACTCTGGGATCCTTTGTGGTCATCGTGGTGGGCGTGGCCATGCTGCACCTTTTCAGAGAGCTGCAGGTCGGTGATCCGTCTGCATTATTGTTAAAATTCCGATCATCTCAGTGAGATTTTGAACAGCTCCTCCTTCAGAGGACCTGTCACGCATTGAATGCGTCCTGCAGCTCTGCTCTGCTTTGATGGTGATGTTCTCACTTTGGAACTAATAAAATGTGCATAAAAAGGACTGCAGTGTTGAGTTTGTCAGTGTCAGAAACCTGGCAAACATGGATGGCATACATATATGTGTGCCATATGTTGCATCAACTAAAAAACATGAAATGGGACCAACTGATTGTTCAGTACATGAAAAACGAACACAGACCCCTCAGTCTGTCTTACATCATTAGCGTTCTGTAGCAAATGTTTCGATGCTAAGACTACAAGACATATGACAAGTGTAAAAGACATACAGCTACAGATCAAGTCCACCCCTGACCTTTGACCTAAGCTGATACCTGCTTCCCTTACAGCCACCTTATTGTCGAGCAGCTAATCTGTGATGACACAAAGCCAATAAACACAACCAGTTCTGGTTTAGCTTGAGCAGGGCACTCCTCCAGTTCTATCCATCGTCACCCACATCAGTGTTAAAGTCTCCTCAGAGATGGAGACCCCAGCATCACACCCAGTGGCTCCAAGAAGACTATCAACATCCCAGAAACAGTTCTAGCCAGTTTGCCACTAATTAGTGAGGTTCTCCAGATCTTTTTCAGACCTTTCTTTTAGCCAGCAGCTCAGCAAGGCTCATTCTGGGCAGCTACATGAGCACGCCTATGAAACAGGAAGTTGGGGTTCCTGAGTATTCAGATATTTTCTGTTGGTAAACACGTTAGCGAGGCTGATGTTAGCATTTAGATGCAGTAACACTTTTACATGTTTCAGCCTCAAAGGGTTGTTGAGGTCACTCAAATACTTTGTCTTTTGATGCAGATGACGATGAAGGAGCTGACCATTCAGCTCTCACAGCCAGTGGAGAGGGAGGAGCTTAACCAGCAGGTTGTAACCAATGGAGGAGGAGGAAGGAGTAAAAAAGAAGACAAGTACGGGCTGATGGACAACATAGTGATTGAGAGCCTTCCCCCAATGAGAGAGGAGGGACCGAGAGTCTTCATCATCAGCTAAGGAAGAGGAGGAGGAGACTCAGGTTCAGACTTCGCTCTGACTGTTACTGTAATGATCTGCACTTTAAAGAACGTTCTAAAACGGCCTCCAGTCTGGCGGCGATCCAGCTCACACTAAACTCACTGTTACTCTTCAGATTATCACAAACTTAACGTTTAGATAAATATGAAAGATCATTACTGAAAACAGAAGCTGACTTTTAGTCCATTCCACTCTCTTTGCATTAGCAGAGTCACTTTAAATACAAAGAGCCACAAAATGCAAAAAGATGCAAAACAGCGGCTGAGATACAAAAAGCAGTATAAATACTGCAGACTGCCCACAGACATGTGAAAAGTACTCTGAGCAGCTGTTTCTCTGCTGCTTAGTGTTGAGTAAATGAAGGTCAATCAATGAAGTTACTGCATATCAGAAACAATATTTTTCTGAATTTACGGTCAAATTCAGCGTCTGAAAACTTGAATGGTGCCTTTGTGCAGGCGTTACGGTGGGTGTTGTTGTGATTTTTGCAGACAAATCCATGAAAAGAGGAAAACCGGCCATCTGTGAGACGCTCCTCGTTTTAAAGCTCAGCGCCCGAGCTGGTCATCGCTTCTCAGGTGTTTATGTTGTGGACGTGTGATCTGACACCAAGCTCTGAATAAGCGATGACACACACAGAGCAGGCTGAAGTGTGGCGTGTGAGAGAATCTGTTTTTATTAAATATGAAACGTTGGGCGTGTCTTCATCAGAAATTATTTACTTGGAGATCAACACACTCAAGGAGATTCTCAGAATCAGAGCAGCTGTTCTGTGAGTTCTGGCCTCTGAGTCTAATCATTTACATTCTGTATTCACAGGAAATTTCTAAATTTGATCCTGATATCAGATGTTTGTGTTTCTGAGTTTCTGTTGCTCCCAAACAAAAAAACTCTTATTGCATCAAGTAAATCATAAGAAACATTTCATCAGAAGCACATAATCCATGTTGTTCACCCGTCTGTGGCTGTGATGCTGCACAAACCACCGTCTCCCCCTCCTGGCACTGACAGTAATTGCACAAACACTGTTTCTACTTTTTTTTTTTTTCCCCTTCTGAATACCTAGAACTCCGCCCACACGCTGTTCAGAGAAATATTTTAAAGGGTGAGTAACCGTGGCAATAATACGTCCACATCATTTAAT